TCCTGCTCTCCACCCCAGCAGCTGCCGGCGTGGTGCAGCGTGTTCATACCCCTGGCACTCATCGCCCCCAGTCTCATCCCTGCAGCCCCTTCTTTTTTGATTTGACATGCTGCTCCTCCCTGGGGTTAAACTTCATTTCTTCCTTCGCGCAGCACTTCCTACACTCACTGCCAATGTCTCTCTAGCTGGGTTTCCCCCTTTGTGCACGCAAGGGCGGTGGTGCGTTTCAAGTACTAGTAAAAAAGACAAAAGAAAAGGTCTGACTTATCTACATAGATATCCAACCAGCCAGCCCTCCCAGCTCATCACATGCTCCATCTCAAAAGCATCAGTGCTGAATCAATTAAAATCTTCCCTGCAATCACTCCCCCAACCCAATGAACAACTGAAATCAGGCTACGGCGGTGCTGGACTAACGGTTTCCAGACTAACAGAGACCTGACTCACCAAGGGAACAGCAATTTCTGACAACACAGGCAACTTCTGCCTGTTGCCTGTTTGAGGAACTTTGCTGGGTTTTCTACACTTCTGCTAAAAAAGACGTTTCTCCTGGGGAGGGGGGAGCAGAGACAGGATCAGACAGACAGGTTTGTCTCCGATACTCAGTCTGAGCACACAGACGCGGGGGTGAGATCGGATCGCGCCAGAAGCGTTAGGCAAACACAACGTGGCACCTGGTGAGGTGAAGTGGGTTTAGGAGCCGAACGTTTTCCCTCTGGTTTCCAGAGGCTTGGCAAGGCTGAGCCTTCACATGACACCTCCGCTGGAGGCACCCCCAGTTCAGGAGGGCGGGTACACATGACTCATACGCTCTTTTGAAATAGGGTATTTACTTTCTTCTCCAGAAAGGGTCATAAAGGAGGAACCTCTTCTCCAAGAGCTGTCTCCGGCTCCGGTTCAAGATGGGAAGAGAGGGTGACCCCTCTGCTTCCTGCGGAGGAGCTGGAAAGCGTCAATCTGAGGTCTGTTTATCAGAAACAGCCCAGGCTCACCTTATCACGCCTAAGATGGGTGTACCCTAACGAGGCTCTGACATGAGCAGCGGGAGGAACGAGCAGGACTGCAAGAACTGACATCTCCAGTGCCCAGAGCAGAGGCAGAGCTCCTGCACCAGCTCCTCCCGGACGCACCTCCCAGCGCCGGGGCTGGCTGGGCAGCCGGGCTGGGATCCCGGGGAGCGTTCACCACACCAGGATTGCACTGATGCTCCAGACTGAGCTCTTCACCGTGTTTTGGATATGCCTGGGGTCTGGAAGTCCAAGTCTTTAGAATCCCTAGGACTCTTGGGGGGGGTGTCAAAGATTCTGCTTTAGCCCACCTGCTTGCTGCAGATGAAACCAGGAGCCTGCAGACTACCAGGGGCTTTCACAGCAGTAAAGAAGTGGTGTGCTGGCAGGTAGGCATGACCCAACACCAGGAATGTCCCTGTATTCCCAAAAAATCCCAAACAAAACCAGACAGGTTCAAACCTTCACCTATTACTAGATACAAACCCCTAACACAGGGAAAAGCCTCACCAAGACACTCCATCAATAGCTTTTCTCATTCATTATTACAAATTTTAAGTGCACCCCCCTCACTAGACTAGCAATACAAGCAATGAACCAATATCAACAGCCAAGTTATTTCTTCAGGGCTTCATGTTATTCCCATCCTCAGGCAAAATTATTTATTCACATACTGAGCTTCCACTTCCCAACAGACATTCCCAGGCTGCCTTTGCAAAGCCCTTCCCTCCACTGTCGATAGGATTAGTTCCTCCCAGGGATTATCAGCCCCATCCTACATATCAAGCCAATGCCCAAGGACACGTATCCTGCATTCACGCTGGAGGCACCCATGGGCAGATGAGATCCAAAGAGGAGCTGAGGATGAGAGGGGATGGATTCCTCCCCTTACTCCGCATTGTGGACCTATCTCTCACTCTGCTAGTTGTGGGGGGAAGGAAAAAAACAAAACCAAAGCCTAATTTTAAGCAGCCCAAAGAGTGCCAAAATGATAAAACACCTCTCCAGGAGAGGCCAAAGAGATACCCTTCCAGTAAGTGTCCTAACGCAACAGGAATGGTCTCTGGGCTAATCTCTGGCTTGGAGCAGATCAAGGCTCTGACTCAACACCCCACCCTTATGAGCAAGTCTAATTAAGCCCAAACCCTCCAGCAGCAGCACGGTGTAGAAGCTGGGTGCCTGGAGGCAGCGTTTCTGGTGGCTGACACCTCCAGCACTGCTGCAGAGAAGTGAGCAATGTGGAGCAACGTGCGCATCCACCAGCAGCCACACGTGGAAGGGGAATAAAAAGTCCCGTTTCAGGAGGAGTTACTCTCCAAGATGGCAAGCACGGCTGCAGAAGTAGCCACAAGAAGGTGCCAAGTAGGAACCTGCAGCCTGCTTTATACCGAAAATGTTGCTCTTCACTGCTGTCAGCTTCTACTGTTTGTTTCACTGTCACCTCCAAGACCTGCAAGAGAGATCGGATCTCCATCACGCCAGCGCTGCAGTAATAAAGTCACCGTCTGAAGAGCTTATACCCAAGTGAAAGGGATGAGAAAAAGGACAAAGCAGGAAATGAACAGACACAGGAACAGAGAGATGGCTGTGAGCAGCAAAACCAGACGGTGCTGGCCAATACTTTTCCATACATCAGAAATCCATAGACATTTTCTATTCTATACATGGAGAGATGATGTTTAAGACAATCTAAAAAAGGACAATGTGATGACTTTGTAAGTATATGCAAAATGTCTTTAGTATGTAGGGACAAAGTCAGGTAGGACACAGTCCTTTCATCTGCAGAGTCCCAGGTTGAAAATAGACTTGTGCTAGATAAACATCCTGATTTAAACAGATAAGGAAGAAAATATTCTTCCTATCACTGTTAAATTTGCTCATTTATCTCTGTTATCAGCCTGCTATTTACAGATTAGCTCCCAAATAACAGCCAATTCATCAGTGCAGGAGCATGCTATTTCTGAAGCGAGTTGGAGCATGCTGTCACTGCGCTTGTTTATTATTCTCCGAGCGCTTTTTGGGTTAAAGCATGAAAAGCAGGAGGGCCACACGACAGACGGACATCACTGCTCAAAACCAGACAGTGCGTAATGCTTGTGATTCAATCACGATCTGTAGCAGCCCCTGTCATCCCGGCTCTCCGCCTCCCGTTGCTGCTCCAGCGTGGCTCTGTTTTCATCTGAAGCACCATCCACTATTTCAGTCATGAGCAAAACCTGTTCATTGTACCCAATTACATGGCAGAGTTTTGGGCTCAGTCAATCTGCTAATTAAAGACTTAAATTCCAAACATGCATCTGCAAACCAGTGTCAAGAGAGGAGACATTTTATTACAATCACTTGTAATAACCCCTTTGCGGTCCGGCATTAATAAAAAATTTCACAGTATTTCAGATTTTCACTAGTATCAGGAAACTCTGACACAAAGTCTTGCCAGCGATAAGAGAAAACACTCCAAGTACAATTTTATGGTCACTTCTAGTTACATTTTTTACCTGTACCAACTACATTGAACACTGGTCTATGAAACTCAAGCACTCCCACTGCAACGAAGCTCCGTTTCACCCCAAATGCGGCATTAGGGCAGAAGCGCGGCAGCGCTGCAGCTTGGTAACAGGCGTTTGAACCACGTAGGGACCACCCTTCTCCTAGTACTACACCACAACTTCCAAATCCTCCACTGTAATACGTCAACGTGTCCCACAGGATCAAAAGTAATCACAGCCAGGCTGAACAGTACGATCGAGCCTTTAGTCTGTGGCCTACATTTCTGCATTAAATAATAAATACCTGGCACTCTGCATAGCTTCCAGTGCATCTCACTGAAATCATTAGTTCCCTTTCCAAGGGGTAACACTCAGGCAGATATTAATAGACACATCTTTAGAAGCCTTTGCTAATTGTGCCGCTCTGTTTGAGGTACTTTTTTGCTAGCGGGAAAGGATTAGTTAGGATTTTTAAGCTTCACAAAATGCTAATACATATTACAAAGGTACCCCGAGGAACTCCGTTCTAAAAGGTGTTTAAATCCTATTGTTTATTAACCCCAAAATAACCTGGGAGGGGGCGAGCTACACAGACCAACAGATCAGCAATTCCCACGTGAAGTCCCACAGAGAGATGCTTCTGCAGGAGGCCAGTCCCACGCCAGAACCGCGGTTCACACATCTCTCTCCACTGCAGCTTAGAGGATGAACCTTCCCTACCCAAAATTCATGATCGTGAAGTATCTGGACCCAGTCGCTTCTGCTGCTGGCACTTACCAGCCGGTCAGCCCCGGGCTCCAGCTTAACTTCAGCACTAACGGGACGGGATGCACCATCTACTGCAGGATCAGGGGGTGATGCTTCACCAAGAACTATCAGCCCCTGGAAGAGAGGGAACAGGAATTAACTGCGGGTCCTTTGGTCTCGGCAGGGAAACTGCGCATCCACCGTCCCCCAGAAACTACCACGGCTGCACAGCACGGCTTGCATTCCCACCGCATTTTTCAGACATGATGCCAAACCGAATCTCCTGCTGCCTGGATTTTCCTGACATCTAAGCTGAACTTGGAGGGGGGAAGGACAGCAGCTGAAGCCAGATCACATGCCTTCAGCCCATTAATATAGTAGACAGTTAGCTCCCTCTCGGGCAAAACTGCCGAAAAGCTGCTGCTGTCCCGTTGCCCACCCCTTCCCCTTCCCCTCCGCCCGCACACGAGGAGGTTCAGCAAGCTGCATGCCAGCAAAACCAAAGAGAACATTTTGCTGTAGTGCAGAGCAGGAAACGACTGCTTTCATAGTACAAAGTGGAACTCGCCACCACAGCCAAGCAAACAATTTTGAGCGGGTGCCAAAAATCTACAGTCAAACTTGTTACTCTGAGCAGATTTTTTCAAAGACATGATATTCACAAAATTCAATAAGGAAAGAAAAACACTGATAAACAAGCCACTGCTATAAACCTGGTGGGACAAAGCACAGTGGCAGAGCACTGTTTTATCAGGCTTAACATATGTTGTCCTGTTTATGTTTTACTCTAAGTGAAGCTTACTCCCAAGGCAGGAGTGCTTTCTCTCCGAACAACACAAAGTAAAATAAAATTATAATTATGCATACTTGAGCTATATTATAACAAAACAGGCCAAAATGTGCAAGGGATTAGAGAGCTGGTAGAAGCTACAGGCCATGACTATAGTCCAGGACCAAGGCAAGCCAGAACAAGTTTGTGATCAGTCAAACAAGGAGTTACAGAAAGGGCTGCTCAGATTAAGAACAGGCGGATCAGTCATCAGAAAACAATTTCAGATATTGCACAGTGTGTCACAAGAAAGTGAACCTGGAAGGAAACCTGGACACGTTATCTGGAGAGATCGGAGAGCTACAAGGCTTCCCTCAAAGTCCACAAAGTCAAGTTCTACGTATAACTGTGCGTCAACAGCTGATGCCATGGCACGTGGCCACTGAAGTCTCCTGTAAGGCTGATCTCACACCTCGACAAAATACAACAGATCGGTGGCTTTCAAGAAAGATAGTGGCAGCCCATAGTTGAGGGATACTTTATTTAAATACAGTTCATAAACTAAATACAACTGCACATGGCCTCTGACCAGCAATGAGGAAGTAGCCAGCTTCTAGAATAAACACGATGACGATTTTCTAGAATATTCTGACATCCCAGAAGGATGTTTAGTGGACAAGATAGGCTGGACGTCTAAACTCAATTAAATACTGCTGTGCTCTTCCTCTACTCTTGAAAGATCCCTCTCCGAATGCAGCCCATCACGTTTCACCATCGCTTCTAGAAACATCCTCAGGCACGCTTCAGCAAAGCGGTCAGTCATCTCCAGATGCCAGGTGTAGGAGAGAGTGGACACAAAAAAGGGAGAAACTGGGACTGAATGCAAAATTAGAAACAAGGAAACTGCTTTGCTTTGACACTCTGGAAAGCACTTGGGCTTCTCATTTGCTCAGCGAGAGAGCAAGATGGGGAAGCACAGGCATTAGAACAGAAACAGCCACCAAGGACTTCTGCCTTCACTACAAAGGCAGAGGATGAAGGGAGCTGCTCCTTGCCTCAGGAAGGAGCAGTAATTAACTGTAGATATTGTATTTGTTTAGAAGGATGCCCCTTTACTAGTGACTTTGAAGCAGAAGAGGCCTAACGCAGCTTTCCCCGTGTCAGTCACGGATTCGGTTTTCGTGTCGTCGTACAGCAGCTGCACGGCCCGGACCCGCCGTGCACACCAGCCCTCTCCCAGCTCCTAAACCCCCAAGCAGTCCAACAGACCTGCAGGTTGGATGGCATCCTTGGGCTCACGCTCTCTGCTTTGCTTTTAAGAGTTTTAAATCTCTGTTATTTATACACTTCTGGATAATAGCAAGAAATTAGAAAGGCAACATCAAATTTCCAACTCTTTCAGGAAAGCAACAGTGAGGCTGAATTATTCCAAGGTCACACAACACTCGCTTTTCACGAGCACTCTCCAAAGCAAAAAGGATGGCCCCCTCCAATATTTTTGGGCAAGTTTGCTGCTCCTTTACTCCCATTTTTATCACAGATTATGGTATTAATGAGAAGTCAATCGTATAGGCCTCAGGTAGAGACAGACCCGGGTGTCCCACAGTCCTGTAATAGTCAGCAGCTTCTGCTAACTGGGACTAATGGGCGAGGAAGAGCACTGACACACATTAAGACACAGCAGAAAGGGATCGAGTGTCCTAAACAGCCCCACAGAGGGACAGCAGCATCTCTTATTGTGCCCTAAGCCCGACATACCAGTACAGACACAGGAAACTCATGAGAACGCTGCAAATTCCTCCAGCAAGAGGCTCCTCCTGACTCCCATCCCACCCTTCCCATCACGCGGTTCTCTTGACTCAGCAGCTCTGACCAGAGCACAGCCCTCCCCACGGGACAGGCTGTGCACAGATTGGACGAAAAGCTCGAAGGGAACACAGCAAATCCATCTCGGATGGTCTGGGAACAAGCTGAGTCTGGGTCTGCAGAGACAATGTGCAAAACAGCCCCATCTTTAAGGAGCTACAGTCACTGTATTTCAACCACGTCTGGCACTGCACAAAATTCCTGCAGGAGCCCTTCATCTTAATTTACCTCTTATTCCAAGAGTGAAACTTCTAAGAAACACAGACAAAGAGAAAAAAAACGCTATTTGTTCCCTTCCAAACACAGAGCATCTGCCACCCACACGCAGGGAGGTGCAAAGACTGCGTGGGGGGGGACCAGCACCGAGCCACATCCCATCTCAAAACAGCACATTTGTGAAAAGAAACAAAACCACCTTATTACCTTCATGGACGTCCAGTCCCTTAAATTAACCGTACATGCTCTTCAAAACCAATGCAAAACTGAAGGCACAACAGCCCGCTATTTTTAAGCGCCAGAAAACACAGTACTTTACAACTAACTTTGAACACATGCTCACAGATTTGTTGCTCTCCTCCGCATCTCACCAGGCTCCGACTGAGCCGATCCAAATGTGCTGAAAACACAATTACAGCTGAGACACCCAGGCAGCAGCACACCTTCAGAACAGAAGGTTATTTTCGACCGCCTGGCCCTTCTCTTGCTTTGATCTGACAAAGCAATGTATCTTTCTTGAAGGGAACACTGGGATGTAAACCTTAAAATATAAAGGTAATTAAAAAAAGAATAAAAAAAGAATAGCAGCTTTGAATTCCTGCAGTGGCTACATTTTAACCTCCTTACGTTGTAGGCCAAATAAGCCAGTTATGTTGATAGAAAAAACAAGGTGTCTACAAATTCTTTAATTGTTGTCCTTGTACCATTTGAAGCCAAATCCCTTCCAACGAGACTTGTATTACTGAAACATGCACTCGTTTCTCCAGCCTCCTATATTCATCCCAAGCTGCTTTTATAAATCATACTCTGAGTTTTTCACTGATGAAAACAGAACACGTTTCACAAGGCATCCTTGAGCTCAATGACACCAAGACGACGACAGCTGGGTGCAAGCGGTGATCTCCATGAAGTCCTACCAGAAAGGCGGGGTGTCTGAATCCCGCTCCCTTGTTCGGGCAGAACAGCCGCTGCCAAATCCTCAACATCCGAACTCTTCTGCCACTGTAAGTGGCATGCTTTATCTTAAATTCACGTATTGGGTTATCACAGTTGAGGAGTTTTTGTTTGAACAAATCAAAAAAGATGACATCCTGTTTTCCAAAACCTCAGATGTACTTTTCAACTCTGACACAACACCGTGATGTTCTCCTTTCAGACCTAGAGACTGCAACCTGAGATAAAAACATATGGGATGCTTGTAGCCATTATCAGGCCATTTCACAAGTCTGTCAAGTTGTCATCATCTGGTGAAAGCACTGAATCTTCCACTTCATTAAATGAGTTTTCTCATTTCTTCCATTACTTAACTTTTAGTATATAAATGTTTAGCTATTTTGTCTTTTATACTTAGAAACCATCTTGCATGATTGGCTGTCTTAAGACAGAAGGAAGACAATTCTTTCTGAAACTGGTTCATTAATTTGACACACAGTCCGCTTCCCAGCAGCCTTTTGCTCTAATCTCAGGAATGTATTCTGTCCA